ATGCTCAACATCTAGAAAATGCACATAGGCTTAAAACACAGTCAAGTCCTTCAAAGTCAAAAACAATAGAAGCTAATTTCTTTCCAGTAACAAGCAAACAAGGTCATATATAGTATCATATCAGAATTAATATACAGATGTGCATATGCATGCTAAAAAAGTTCATTTGGCAGATTGATTTTCACCCACGTCCTTCCAGAATTCCAACGATGGCTATGATCCTCTGTAGTGGCTCTCACCAGGCCTTGTCCTGAAAAATAGATACGATGTATCACGCTTGTAAAATTCCTACACATCAACGTATTGTTTTCAATTTACACACAATGGTAACTTTGCCTTCTACCCTCACAGCATCGCCAGAGCAGAGCCATTAGGTTGCCGCTTAATCAAATCAGAAAGCTTTATTGTCATTGAACGTAGTTCAACGAGATTTGCTCCGCTGTTAATTTTATGCCCTGATATCAGCAGCATTTCATGTCTTAATGCACTCTGGCTAAACTTTTAGCACCTTCTTCAGATTAGGCTGTTAGCGGGTAACATTAGCTAATTCACTGTAGTGCTGTATTTGGGCGTGTATAAACCCTGTGATTAACCAGGCAACCGTCTGTGTGAGCTGAATGCCAAAGATGATCCTGACTTTCTGGCCTAAAAGCTAAAGTTAATGTGATGCTAACTGCAATAGCATATTTGAGCACTAGGCTACTCACACCTTGCTGCTTTTTTCCCCATTTGAAAACTGAAGATGTGTATTTGCCCACTGATTACATAACAGCAATAAACCAGCTGGATTTCCATACAGTCCTCACCTTGTGTTCATTGAGACCCATGTCCTCTGTGGGTTTCAGCCCCTCTGCAATCAGCAGTCTTGCCTGCGAACTCCTTTGCCGCTTCCCTCTTAGCTTCCAGGGCATCAGCCTATCCTGTTCTCAGCCATCTGGTGCACCAGCAACGGAGAGTTTAACTTCACCCGGGCTATTCAGACTGTAGAGCAGGTTCAGAGGCTGGCTGTGGGAGAGCTTTCTGGTCTGTTGGTTCTGCCCTCACCACCTGATCCTTGGCCTCTTGATCCTTGTCAAACTGAACACAGAATATGAACCATAACATGTGTGAGAAAGATGTGGTAAAGCACAGCTCATAACGTATGATATTGTATGTTAGACATCTCTTTAGCTTTCATTGACTCCTTGATCTGCAAATTTTCGGTATCCTTCTTAAGTCTTGCTTGAATAGGGATTATAAAATTAGGATGAGATTTGAACAGTACATTGTTGCACATTCATAGATTTGTTTACTGCTGAATTGTGACCGCGCTACTAAAAATTCCCACACCTATTATTATATTAATGCGCTACTAATTTTCGCTTGTACACTGTGCGAGCACAGTAACACTCAACCCTTGGCTCCCTTCCTCTGCTCGATCTTCAAAGAACATCTACGTGACAGGTGCTGTTATAACAGCAGCGTAACTCTGAATCAGGAGGTGCGTAGCGAGTGTTTGATCGTCCGAGCGGTAGAAAGTGACGGTGAGCGCGAGCGGAGGAAAATATTATGTCAGTAAATGTGCTGTGTTAGTTACAGCGTGTCAGCTTCTCAAGACTAAGAAAAATCTGTTTGTTGTTTCCCACCTGCTGGAAAAGTGAAGCCTGTCTGCGCTAGAAAACATCTCCCCTCCCCTTCAGACTGCCAGCTGAGCAGGAACGCTTCTACAGCAGGCTACATCTTTTGGCTGCTATGTAACTCAACATTAGCTCAATTTATAGAAAGAAACTGGAAGCTGTATTTTATTACTACCTTCTTGTCCAATGTTGAGAACATCAGGTAAAAACTTAGACTAAACTGGTGTAGCCTACAGCTGTGTCCTGTAGCCTACAGACAGGTAGGCTCCATCCCACATTATTTTCAGTTTTCAAATGAGTCTGAAAAAGTGGTTGTTAGGAAAAGAAAGGACGGTGGTGACTGGGGGACCTGATGTTATTAAAGCAAGTAAGTGATGCAAACTAGTTCTTTTTAGCTAATTTAATTTTAGCTTTACCTTCAGTGAACGCTGAATGTCGATGTCCTGCGGGACGTTACCCGGACTGTCTGCTTCCAAACGAGCTTGACGTTATGACGTATCTCGACGAAGTAAAACATTGTCATTGGTCGAAGTCGCCTCTGCGCAGTATGAATCATCCAATGAGGGTACAGCATTCAAATATTTGAATATTCGCGCACTTTCCTGATTTCTGTAGCACAGAGACTAAAGAGACTATTTTAAATTTCTGTATTTTCACTCATTTTAAAGTTTTACATCCCTTCACCCCCTGATTATCAAATATGTAGTTGATGCTACAGAAACATTTGTTGAACTGTTCAGTCCTAACATCACTTCTCAATCTTTCATACATTGCTCAATTATTGCAAAATTGTAAAAATATAACACCATTGGAAAGCTTTATTCAACTTGTGGTCTCCCTTTTGTTTAGTCCCCTCATATAACCTCAGCCTATGAAAAGCTCCCCATAAAGCTATTATGTTTTTTTACAGCCTTTATGAAATCCCATATATTTTCTCAAATAAGTAGACGGTATGTGTAATATGACATAAAAGGACAAGCACACACAACTGGGAAATGCAGGAGACATGATGAAGAAGGGACATCACAGTAGGCATGACCTAAAGGAGGGGACACACGGGCAGCAGCCATAAACTGTATATGAAAAGGCAGAAGCACACAATTCAAGATTTATTATATCCCAATACAGGATATTATCAAGCAACATCTGACACTACACTTAACACTGTGGGACAGGCAGACATTTAAATGCATTAATGTAACACCTTAATGAAACATACTTTGCCTGGGTCATATGTGCATGAAGCCTGTATAGCCATTGTCTTTGTAAATTGCAGATGTTGATCAGATCACAGAGGTTCTGTCAGGCCCAAGTAAGGCGTTTGAAGTACTGGTGTGCATGAACATTCACATGTTCCACACCCCATAGGAGGAAAATTCATATCTACAGATGGTTTGAGCTGTGTTGGAACAGACATCAGAAGCCAAAGTGGACACAGTATAATTTTTAGTCCAACATCTGAAATAGGCTGTAGACTTGGGGGATCGTGAACCCATGGCCTCCAAGAAAGTGGAATGAGGTAGATAGATCCTCCCTAACGACTGTGAACCCAAAGATGGTGACTGCTAACATGTTAGGATAGTAGTGATGCAAGAGGTTTATTCATTACTCTATTACAATCTCTTCAAATTCTAACATTGATTAATCCAAAGAGCACTTGCTGGTGTGTCGTCTAGTTGAGCTGTGGAGTGGCTGAGGCGATACAGTGATGGTGTTCAGGCTAGTTGTAGGCTCATACAGTGCTTTAAGATGTATGGCTGGTCCTACCTGTCACAGTGCCTCTGTTAAATTAAATACAAGTCTAACTCCTTGGAGTTGGCACTTATATGTGGTGCTTTCAGAGGTAAAACACTAACACACACATATTTACACACAGTAGGCCTACATATGAGACCACGTGCTGAAGTGTGTGGTGGGAGAAGGAGGTGGGGGGGCAGTATACATAATTCTCAAATACTTAAAGTCCATCTAATCGCACTATCTGTGTAAAATATGAAAGTGTTGTTTAATCACAACAGTGAATTAGGGTTGTCATTAAAGCATATGGCCGAACCACCCAGATACTGTGTTCTGCTTGAGGTATCTAACTGTTAAAGGGAGTGGTGGGAATTGTTGGGTTTCTGGTAATAATATTCTAGACCCGCTCTATATGAATAGTGCAACGAGATTACCTTTGTTATGAATTGAGGCTAAATAAAACTGATTAGATTGAGTACTTGTTAAGGCAAAAGTTTTTTGCAATCCGCCATTAACTAAGAAGAAGAAGAGTACTTGTTACATCCAGAAGGTGGCAGTGTTGCAGCGCCAGCTGCCGTTAAACCGAAAGAAGGAGAAGAAGATTTCAGCCAGCACATGTGCGATGTCACTTGACTGCTTCTTCTGAGTTAATTTTGGCGGACAAGTTGCTGGTGGTCTTCGTTTTTGGAAGTTGTAAGAGGTAAGGACCTGTTCTTTTTACCCGTAACTGTTTTTGTATAATTTTCATACTGAGCATGATTGTATTTTGTGTTTGTGATAGAAGGCGTCCTGCATTTTTCGGGTGTATAAAGTTAACAGTTAGGTTAACTAGCCCAGGGAGGTGGTTCTTGGACATGTGTTAGCTAGCTAACATTGCTGCATGACCCAGGTTGATCGGCTTTTATCCCGCCGAGCCTGCCAATCCGTGAACACTTGAACCCTCTGCTGTTGATATCAACACTGTTTACAGGCGCTTCAACACCTCAGCCTGTGCTGTGGTGTCCATAGAGAAAGCTGTTTTTACATGTCTGTGTTTAAGCTCTTAAGCTTTAGCTCTTCATAGGCTGCTTTTGTAACACAGTGTCTTTGGTTTGGAGAGATTAGTTTTACTCTTGTGTTCCTGTCTATACTTTCACATATCAGGCTTGTTTTACTGGTCATAATAAATGCAAAAGTTACGTTTTTGCATGATTAAAAACAGATAACGTTAATTTTAATTGTTAACAAACAGATATTTTGGACTTGTATTCAGCCAATGGTTTGAAGTGTTTATGAGCTTCAGTGAGTCACTATTAGCCTAAAGCTGTGCAAGCTATCTGTTATTATAAATGGGGGGGAAAGGGCATCACAGAGTAGACATGGCGTTTAGGTCAGTGTAATGCTACAAATTACGAAAGTGTGCCTCTTTTTCTGTCTGAATTTCCAAATTATTTCATCCTCTTCCCTTTCCCAGGTAAAGGAGAGCGCATAAGGCTGCTCTTCAACTACCAATAATATGTTGTACTTGTGGAATATGTTTCTAGGTGGAAATTCTGAGGATTTCTACTGTTCCACTGCCTCAAAGTTCGTAGACACACTTCTCTCCACTGCACTGCCTCAAAGTCGTAGACACACTTCCAATCTCCTCAGTGTGTTGAAGAAGAAATTGGCTCTGCAGGAAGGGAACTTTGCATACTTTTGGCCCACAGGTATGTTTTGCAATTGGTAGAAATTATAGAATAATAAGTTGATGTTGACTCGTCTCTTCTGACACGTATAGAGAGTAGTAAACAGTCAGAAACCCAAAACATCTGTGTATGCACCCTGATGAGTATACTATTGGGATTTGATTGTTGCTCACAAAGCCTAAACAGCAACACTTGTGCCACTTTCAAACAAATATTTTTATTGTTTGCAGTTGCCTCACTATTTAAACACACATCAATGACCAGAGCTATATTTAGGGATCGGATATATTGACATTTGGAATGAGCAACAGAAAGTTTGCTTCTCAAAATACAATGCGCTTGTTAAACAGGTGTATTGGTGACATACTGGCTTTTTACTCACTAAGGTTTTTACCTGCGGCCTCTCTGCTGGCCATTAAGTTGGCTCTGTGTTTGCGTCTATGTGGAGACGCTCAGCCCTGACACAGAAAGCAGGGCACAGGCTTCACCGTGATAACATAATTTATTTGACAGCAAGGTTTCTTTTGTTATGATTTCAACACAGACTTGTTCACAATGTAGTAATGGGGGAGGGTGTACCTCCCTGGACATGTTCATAGCAAGTTTATTGTGTCCTTTCAGAGTTTAAGAAATCAAAGATGTAGGACACATACCATTAACATCACTGGGCATGTGAGAATGTGTAGTATGTGTGTATGTGCAGTCCTTAAGTATTTCTGTATTGTTTTTGTCTCTCTAGCAACTGTTGAAAAGAGGAGGGAGATCATCCTCAGGGCAATTGGTTTCTACCTTATGAAGACCCAAACATCCTCTTTAAAGAACACCCGGTTGGTAATTTCAGTAGTTACTACCTGCATTAAACCAAACGGCTACAGTTGTGGTCAAAAGTTTACATACGCTTGTAAACAACATGTATTTCATGACAGTTAAAACCAAATGCCATCAAATACATGAAAATGAATTGTGATTTTTCCTGAAATAAAGAAACAAAAAACAGACAGCTTGTTACATCCCTGGCTTGTCTAGGGGTGGGGGACTAACAAAGAGATAAATAAACCGAGTGGAAAAACAAAGGATGACCCAAAATGTGTCAAGTTAATGTAATTATTCTAAGTTAGTAACAAAAAGGTGTTTTAACAACTGAAGGTGATCTCTGCTCACATTAGAGACGATATGGGGTTTGTTATGTAAAGTAAATTAATTAAGATATTTAGCGGAAAATATGCAACACAATACAGAGTCTCTACGGCTCCCACCGCGCTGGTGAGGCATATGTGGAGATCGACGCTCCTCATCACACCGGCTTCTAGCTGGTCGTGAACACGGGGCCGATGGCTGCCTCCGCAGAGTCACCAGACGCACGGCGTGAGTAATTAAGATCGGCATCCAGCAGATCACGTCTCGCTACGGACCACACAATAAACCACACAGTAAGTCAACCACACTGTAAGCCACAATAAGTCACACAGTCTAACGCGAGCAACCACGGAAGAGTGAGCCTGAGAGCTCTTCACTGGCTCAGCTTATGTGCCCCACTGATTGCCGCTGATCAGCTCCAGCTGCGGGATTTACGCAGCGCCAGGCTCAGGGCCCAGGTACACACCTGCAGAAAAGAGACAAGCACAACCCACAGACCTCACGGGTCGTAACACAGCTGTTTGAATAACGGCTGCTACTAAACTTTCACATGATCAACAAAATCAATATGCAACTAACGTTAATGATTTTCGCCCGCACACTGTGCAGCACGGTGGCACATAGCTAACGTCCTCTCCTCCTTCACAGGACAGCTACGTGACAGGTGGCAGTAGTGACGGTGAAAATGAGAGCAGAGGAAAATATGAGTGCTACATTTTAGTCTGGCTGTAAATGTACAGTGTAGGTTACAGTTTGTCCGTATTGACATAGATGAGGGGGGCAGAATAATAGAACATAAAATCTAGCAGTAAAAGTAAAGATTTATGGCAGAGCTGTTAGATTGCAGTAGACTGCACGCCCTCCAAATAAAGTGCTTGGTGAGGTATATTAAATAATACACAATTGGATCTAATATTTAATTCACCAGCACTACTTCATCTTGTAATTTTTAAACACATAGCACTGTATCATGCTATTTTTGTTAAATCATTACATAAAGGACACCTGAAATGCAAACATTACTCTTTAGAATTCTGCAAAATCTGTTTGTGATTCATAATTTGTTTTTCTACTTTCTTTCTGTCCTATGTAAAGGATCTGATGCTACAGCCGTTCCGAGGGAGCTTGGACAAGTTATCTTTACAGCATCCGTGTTGAGGGAGGTGATGCTACCGCTCCTCCAGCTGATGTTGGGATAGTCACCGAGGGTGCTGAAGTTCTGCATGACTTGGGAGACATCGCCTCTACACGTGCACTCTTAATAGGTGTAATTATGCACTGAAGCTCAGTTATCCTCAGAACCTTAAAGCCTTCTTTGAGGTACTTCACAAGTGATTCTTTCAACTAGATGCTAGCAAACTCTCAACCAAGGTACAGATGCTCAAGAACAAACTCTATGAATGAGCCATTGATTTGGAGGCTGTGTTCTGTGGAATTGGCAGAATTCTAAGCAGTGCATCATCAAAATTGTTGACAACTAAACATTATTTTGCAAACTTTTCAACACTTTATAGTGCTGATAATTTTACTGTATTATTTTTTTCACCAGTTGCACCAAAATGATATTGATGTGTTGGTGAATAAAGTCCATAACAAAATTCAGTTGAAATGAATTTGTGTGGGACCAGTTGACAAACATTTGATTTGTGTCAATCTAATTTGGAAAAAAATTTTTACTACTCCAAATAAAATATTGAAAGGTAAGCTTAAATATATTGTTGATCAGAAGTTTTTTTAGTTGGATCAATTGACATTCATTGTGTTACTCTTATACAAGTTCATTACATTTTTTTTGCTTTTAACTAACCTAAAACAATTTTGTGGAATCTGTTGAAAAAATAAATATAATTAAAATCAAAGCTTCAGTTTTTTTGAGTGAACCAAGATGGGACAACAAATACACCTTTTATGACCATTTGATTTTGATATATAGCCTAAACACCAGTAAGCTGTGCATCAAGACCTAAAGAGAATAGGTCTTTTTAGCCTCAAATGGCCTATGAAAGTAAACTCCATACATTAATGGGAAAAGTTTGTAGATATATTGGATAATTGCTTGTAATCACTATAAAAGTATGTTTATTCAAAGTAAACTCCATATATTAATGGGAAAAGTTCGTAGATATATTGGATAGTTGCTTGTAATTACTGTCAAATATTGTTTATATAAAGTAATCTCTATAAAAATATGGTTTTGCAAGCTATTATCATGTGATCTTTGTTATTCCACAGTTTAAAAACTAAATAACAGGAAGTTACTATTAATAGATTGGATAATCCCATAAAATAAAAGCCTAAAGCTTTCAAGATACTGTTATTGAGTTTTAAAGCACGGTATTTTAAGGAATTAAATCTAAAAATCTGTACTTTGACAAGGAGTTCTTGTGGATGGAATAGATAATCTTATGAATTTACCAAAGAATACTGTGTAAAAACAGCAGACACTTTTTAACTGTGTAATTTTAAGGTATTTCTGCAATATTTTTCAGTTTATATGCAGATTTATACATTTGTTTAACATTTTACAGACATTTTTTAAATGAGATTTTCTTTTCATTTTACAGCAGTTGGACTGTAAAAATACAGACAATGTTTACAGTAAATATCTGTATTTAAAAACAGAATTATTCTGTAGAATAATTTAAGGTTCTTTACTGTAATTTTACGGTAAGTGTTTGGCAACTTTTGCTGCCAGACTTTTTACCGTTATTTTACGATTGTTTTTTACATTTATTTACCTTAAATTTAAAGTTTCACAGTAAAAAACAGAAAGTTGTCTTAATTTTAAATATGTGAATTTCTTTGTCTTTTTACATAGAATTCAATGTAATTTTACATTCAGGGCAATTAAGCAATCTGTAAAAAAAAGTATAATTTCTTATTATATGAATATACAGATTATAACTTATTTTATGATTAATGTTTTTAATAAAAGTATTTTTCTGTATTTTCTACTAAAATCTATTCTAATACCTGGCGTGCATGGCTGCCTAACTATTACTGTTAACAGCTATATTTAAACCAGGATTAGCAGCTAAACTAGGCAAGATACTTCAAAAAGTAATCAGGTACCTATGAGGTGTTCATTTAAAAACACAATTACATATATACTTTTACTTTTACTGAGCTGGGCTCAGTAAAAGATGCCTTTAAACAAATCCAAATCTTCCACACCCACAGGTCACATATTCTGTAGAAGCAAGAAAGAAACAATATGGTTTAGCAAGGGGCAAGACAACATTTAGGAGGTATTTACTGACCATCAAATAGCGCCATCCTAAAGCCACACGGTTCATCCTTCAACTCTGGAGCGTGTCCTGTATGCTTATCAGTAACTACTTAGCCAGCTAAAAAGACACAACATTGAAATAAAACGTCACTGGTGTTATTAGGCTCGCCACTTTAGCTACAAATGTTCAAACTGAACGAACATATTGAATCACAATTGTCACTTAACTAATCAGCAGCTTTCAGCGGTGGAGCTCCACTCAACGGTGACTGAGAACACCATTGTCAGCTTGTAATTACTTGTTTAAAAGTAGGGTTGTCCCCGACTAACGATTTACGTAGTCGAATCAGAATCGTCAAGTCCTGCCCATAGTCGGCAGATAGTCGAATCCTGTGTGTGTTTTTGTGCAGGGCGATTGCGAGCACGTGGGGGGATTACACATGGTAGTTCCGCTTTAATCTTGAGGAGCTCAGAGCTGCAGCCTCTTTTCCAACAACTTACACTGTAAATTTTCAGCTAAACTGAGGCTTTTTGAAGACCCTTTTACTCTCACTCTCTCTTTCTTGCCTGTCATTCAACGGTCTTGTGCAGACTTTTACGTGCGTTAGTGCTGCGGACAACGGCATGCACGTCGCGGTTCCCCGCGGGTCTATTTCAAGTAGCCGGCTATTTAAAAACTATAAAATATTCTTTATGTGGTTCATCAATGGTGATAAATTATCCGAAAGTCCCGTGAGGTGCGAACAACTCGGCACAACAACGTGAAGCTGGGGCTTGGCCTCTTCAGCAAGAGTTCCTCCACTGCCACTGCACAAATACACGCTATGCTTACACATGTGCACTGACAACCCAAGTTTAGAGTTAGAATTTTGGATTTATTCACGCACTTCAAAAACATTTAGTGAAAGTTTTTATTCTTTTTACAAGTTTATTTACAGCATTAAACATTGAAATGTATATTGTAATAGGCTGTATATTAACTTATTGGGAGAAAACTGGTAGTTCTATGTAAAATCAGACGTTGAGCACCCCCATATAGCCAGAATGGCATGATCCTTGTTTCACTGCGATGCTTCGACTGTGAGATTGACAGTCGAATCAGGCTCCGCCCATCGAAGCATTGACTATTCGGGGTCAGCCCTATTTAAAAGCTAACTAAAAGGCCACAAAAACCTCAGAAATGATCATGAAGTGATAACTTTGCTGTGAGTGTGAATGACGATGCGTTCACTTCGCTTAGAAAATACCTGAACGAGCTATTTTTTTACTTCATTCAAAGATTCGTTGTCACAGTCATCTTTGAATGAAGTAAAAAAATGTTTCAAATCAGCAAAGTGACCCTGGATTTCCAGCATGGTTGAAGTGGATAACTTTCTTCATCAAGGTTTGCATTGTATGAAAAGGTAAAAAATTACACATACATAAAGGTCCTCCATCATGTAGCTGTTTCTGTATACGTTCTGAAAGGGTTCTAAATTTAAAGAGTAACTTAACACCGGATGAAAATGTTTAACTTCTCACATTGCAGCAGTGATGTAGATGTGTACTCCAGGGTGTGTCAGTACATTCTTACATCACTGTTGGGTATGGTTACAGGTGCAAGACAGATCTGTTGCTTTTCATTGTTGATTTAAATCTAAAATATTTATGTGAATACACTGGGTTAATGATAAGGGATTCCTTTATTTAATTAAATTGAATGTGTGGAATATATAATGTAAGAAAAAACAGTCAGTAGCTCCCTTTCTTCATTTAATTTAAATGAGGTATGATATGTTATAAATATGCTAAGCCCATAGACCCTTTAAGTGGCTGGTGTTGTGTAATAAAGGCATGTAATCACACCAGCCTCTGTTGTGACTTGGATGGTGGCTTCACCATTTCTACCAGTGGCGTCATGTATTTTCTGTTAACCATATCACCACACAGGAAAGACGGCCTTGAAAACTCTCAAACGCACACATACAAATTGCTCCGCTGTGTTTTTTTATTGTTGTTTTTTTATACACACTGCACAAGGACAAAACAGTGTCTTCTATCTCATCACTGACACAATGCAGGCAATCACTCCATACCACTTGACTCTGATGGGCTGCCTGTGACTAGACAGCACCCCACACATCAAACAGAAGTGCGATGATTACTAGTTACTCAGCCAGCCAAGTGTGGGCTGTGGAGCTATGATTTGACCCCCAAAAAAAAGCACAATTTAGGGGGAAA